TANATATATATATATATATATATATATATATATCATATCATATACATAATCATATATAGACACGCACTAGTATACCTCGCTGTAGGCGCCCTCGTATACGCATTTACCATCGGCTAGTAGCATGAGCCGGTCGAACATCTTCATTATCTGCGATGCCGGTTGGTGTATAGTGGTGACCACTGTGTGGGTATATGCCGAGAGACGTATGAGACTTCAGGCACATGTGATAGTAGATACGAGTTAGCATATACACGCCGATGAAGCTTCGAACAGTACGGCAGCACTGCTATCAAGCACTCTTTAGGAACGTTTTGTCCTCGGAACTGACCCAGAATTCAGAATTCGTACGCGCCAATCCATAATCCATCACAACAAAGCCACACAAACGTTACAAAAACAGTGCAATAGTACCGCTACTAGACATCCGGCATAGGCGTTTATACTTAGAGCTGCAGGTACGCGTTACTCACAACAAAGCCGACGAAACGTGTTGACTATTTGGTACATTCAATACTACACGCTTAAGTATAAGCGCTAGATGGGAATACACCGGTCTTGTTTGTCAGACTCGCAATCTCCTTCCGATACGTAATCGCACTATACGTTGTATTGCTATCTGGACCACACACGAACTTGCCAATACAAACTCATCTTATTTCCTTGATACGACTTACTCAAAACCCCGAATCGATCCCCAATGTGAGGCGTATATATATATATATATATATATATATCGCTCACAAGCCACATGTATAGACACACACGCATGTGCATGCAACGCAGCTACCTGTCTTATTATCCAAGCGGGCGATCTCTTTCATCGTTTTCATCAGACTATACGCCGTGCTGCTGTCCAACCCACTCGTAGGCTCGTCCAGTAGAATTACACTTGGGTCTGTGAGCAGCTCACAACCAATGTTAACACGCTTCTTCTCTCCACCACTGATGCCGCGCTTCATGGCCGATCCCATGATGGTGTCTGCACACTTTGTTATACTCAGCAGATCCATGACCTGTAGGTAAATGACAGGGCATAGACACTTAATATTAGACACTTTATAATACTGACACAGATAACATAGACACACTTGGTTATACTCAACAGATCCATGACCTGTGGGTAAATAACGGGGCATGTAGGTAAATGACAGGGCATCGACACTTTATATTAGACACTTTGTAGTACTGGCACAGATAACATAGACACACTTGGTTATACTCAACAGATCCATGACCTGTGGGCAAGTCTTTAAAGGTGTGCTATCCCAATCGATAAAGACATTTTGATATACGGACACGGATAGACAATGTGAGATGATATGGAGGCGCAGATGAGGCATCACGCTGAGCAATACAGCGACACTATATTGTACATGGTATACGTGTATATAAGAACAACTGTATCTACTGCAATGTGGGTTCAGTGCCTAAA